GAAAAACAGGCTCAGAGTGGAACAGGTTTTAAAGCTGTTGTAAATTACATATTTATATACACATACTTATACTCAAATGATTATTTCCCTACCTCACATTAAATCAGATGTTCTTTATGCTATAAACAACCAAATGTGTGTTTCATAATAGCATTCTACATGAGGATGAAAAATTAAAAATGTTAGAAAAGAAAACTAAGTTTAATATTTCAAAATTAGTGACCCATCTGTACGTAGACTGGGCATCCCATATAACCTGGCTGAGCCAATATAAAACAATCAGCCAAATAACTTTTCAATATATTATTGATTACTATTTTTGAGGTACTTTTAGGATGGCAGTAAACATAAGTCAGAGGTAAATTGTGTACTTTTCCTCCACTACATGTATTTAATACCTTTAGTTACTTTACAGATGTGGTTGAATGATGTGAAATATAATCAAGTGTTAAATCAGACTTTAGTTCCACCTGGAGTAAATTCACAAGCTACTCTGTAGTATACAAAGTCATTCAAACTAGCTGCAACTTTACCAGCTTTGATAACACTTTCATGATCAATCATTATAAAACATATCATATACAATTATTAGGGATGCTCCGATCGCCAATTTTGGGGCCGATCGCCGGAATCAGTATCGGCCGATACCGATATCGCTCTTTTCCTCTCTCCCCCTCTCTCTCTCTCTCCCCCTCTCTCCCTCTCTCTCTCTCCTGACAGCCCGTCAGTATCTCATGCAGCTCACTGATCCAGTAATGAGCGACCCGACAGTGAAGAATAAACATATTTATAACTAGTTTAGCTTGTTCCAGAGGTAGATCAAATAGCTAAGTGTGTTAGGTCTAACTCTTAATGTGTGTTCTGCTCCGCTCACCGGTCCGTCACAGCGGGTGGAGCTGCAGGATTTCTGCTTCACACACACGTTGAATACCGCTATTTTATTGTCATTTTCGGACACTTAAAATACTGCCAGACTAGTGAAGCCATTTTGGCGAGCTTGTTTTGCCACGCACAGAGAAAAGTGTCATGTATTTTACATGCAACGATAGCCTAATCTAAAATGCTCTACTATGGCGTACCTTTCGTGTGGTGTGTGGCTCGTCAGCGCAGACTCTCGCATCGTTATTGTTGCACACTTTGCAGGAGGCTACTCTTGGGCTTCGCTTGACCCTCGTCTTAGCCATGGCTTGTATTTGTCTTCTGCTAGCCAACGCTCGTTGAAACGGCAACCTCCTGGCATACTGTCATCTATCACTCTCATCAGAATGCCCAGGTCACACACGTAACAAAAACACTTGCCGGCAATAGTATGAAGCTGCAGCCTCGGAGGCTGCACTCTCAGGACCACACTCTCAGGACCACACTCTCAGGACCCTAGTTGTTTTGCAACATCGCCACCTAGCGGATTGGATGACCGCAAAAGTACAACCAGCGAGTATTGAGTCTCATACACTGCGAGTCTCTTTAGACATTGTAATGCTTGTTATTAACCATCTAAAAATGCATGAAAATATGTTTTTCTTACTGAAATTACATTATTATTATTATTAACAACAAGTTGTTGTTAATATGTTTTTGATTTTTAATAACAAATGTATTTTGTATGTCAGATGTAAAAAGATAGTCTTTTATATTTGTCTTATCAAATTTGACATACAACATAAATATATATATATATATATTGTAGTAATAATGATATAATCAGGGGTGCACATAACTTTTTTAGTGAGTTACTCAGATGAGTACCAAGAGACAGCGTTTGGTACTCACCCCACACGAAGCGTGGTCCTCCTCAGTGTCTCCTTCACTGTCCTCAATTTACACTTCTTGCATGCTAGATGATGAAGATGATGAAGATGCACCTCCCTGTCTCTTTTTAAGCCTCCGATTTGCTTTCTCCAAAACTTGTTGCCAAAACTGTGAAGTCCTTGCATTTCCTGAGGCCAAGTTGAAGGATCAAATACTAAGAAATGATCACATGACTTGAAGTCATATCTGATTTCAAATGTGGGAAGTAACAAAGCACACTTATTTACTCAAGTACAATTTTGAGATACTTGTAGTTGACTTGAGTATTTCTATGTTATGCTACTTTGTACTTCTACTTTTACTCCACTACATGTATTTAATACCTTTAGTTACTTTACAGATGTGGATGAATGATGTGAAATCTAATCAAGTGTTAAATCAGACTTTAGTTCCACCTGGAGTAAATTCACAAGCTACCCTGCAGTATACAAAGTCATTCAAACTAGCTGCACCTTTACCAGCTTTGAGAACACTTTCATGATCAATCATTATAAAACATATCATATATATTATTCTGAAATGGACCAATCTGCACAATGACTACTTTTACTGTCTCTACTTTCACTATATTTTGATAATACTTTTCTAATTTTACTTGAGTAACATTTTGAATGCAGGACTTTTACTGTAACAGAGTATTCCTACACAAGATCTGAGTACTTCTTCCACCTCTGTCTGATTTCAAACTCTTCCATAACACCCTGAGTAAGTTTGCAGCTGTGTGTTTCACTCCACTTTGGTGTAAATAAAACTGCAGCAGCTTGACCACAGAGCGTGAACGTTGTGATCAGATGATTTTGCGCAGTTCTCCAGTGTGTGCGCGGGGCACAGAATGTGCACAGGGGAGTCTCCCACCGCAGCCAGTTGGCGGACTTTTGGCACAATTCTGTTGTTTATACCGACGTTAACCCTGTCTGTGCACACGGCGACCAACTCTGTCGTCCAGTGATCTAAGCCTCTGCCTCCTGGAAAGCTTCACAGGTCCGTCGGTTATGTCCTGCGCGGCTCACCCAGCTCCAGTTCAATCAGTCATAGAAAGATTTTTTGCAGGGAGCGAAACGGCAACGTAGCTGCTTAATGTCTTTGGGTTTTTTGACATGCCTAGTAGTTTACTCCATTGAGTGTTGACAAGAAACACGTGTAGACGAAATATGTGTTTTGTTTTGATGTTTTGAGGTACGCAAAGGCGCGTAGTGACACAAGTGACGTTACGCAATTCAGTTTTGTGCCGCGCATGCGTACCTGCGTACCAGTTATGTGCACCCCTGGATATAATCTATTTATAATTGTAAATGTATATTGTATGTAGACATACATTTAGATGTATATTTTGTTAAAACAAAACAAAACTGTTAATTTAGTTTTTGGGAGAAGGGGTGGGGTTAAATAAGTGTAAACTCCTTTGAATCAATTTGATACTGCTTATGTTTCTACAGTATCATAATTCTCTTGTTTCATTTCATTATTATATATATATTTTTTATTGTATTACACGTTCGAAATAAATCAAATCAAATGTGTCTTTGAAGAGGTGCTAGATTACTCAAAAACAACTGTTAGTGTGTTTATGCACCAGGCTGCAAAAGATAAACATGCAATTTGACGAGAGGAATTTCAGTGCAGAATACATTTTTATTTATTGGGCACTGTGGATTCTTCACTGGGGTGAGGCGGGGTCTGCTGTTCCCTCAACCACCAGACAACAGCTCCAGCTGCAGTACCCCGGGAAGCCCCCTTCTTGGATTGAAATATGCATCTTGAAAAAGAGAGAGCCTAATTGGTCAAACTGAACATTTTGAAATACTTTCACAGACAGACATAAATTAGGCCTAATTGTTAGATTCTGACACGACAGATTCTAACCTACAGAATAGGCCGACATAATAACTGACTAAAACACCTCATGCAATATTACAAAACATGTCAAAATGATGAGACTGTCTGATAAACAGTAAACAAGCAGTCAGCACAGTTAAGATTATTTACAATGAATTCAAATAGTAATACAATGACTATTAAAGAAGCATTTACACTGAAGACATAACTTATATTAGGCTACTGCTGATTTAATGTAGCGGACAGACAGATCATATTGACATGCTTTTGTCATCCTTTGAAGTTTAATTAATTAGCTGACTATAATTAATGATCAGGGTTGGGAAGTTTACTTTTTTTAAATGTAGGTTACAGATGACTAATTACCCTGTTAAAAATGTAATACGTAATGTAACTGACTATGTAACTATTTGTATTGATAATCTAATGTTAATTATGGTTCTTTTATGTTTTTTGTGAGTCACTTTGGATAAAAGCCTCTGCTAAATAACATAACCATAACATACGGTTTCATTAAACAAATAAACAAAAAGGCTAACAGTTGGTTTTGCAGCGAGTCATCATAGGCTAACAGATGACATTTAGCTGTTAACTTTAAACAAACAACATGATTCACATTACTCACACTCTTACTGTAATTAGTGATTAAATCAACAATTAATGTAGGACACCTAGTTGGGCTTGCCAAAATCACGCTACAGTTTCATTAAACAAATAATCAAATATGCTAATGAAGCTAATGCTATTAGCATTAGCTTTTGCCGAAAGCTATAGCTAACAAATAATTGTTTTTAGTGCCTTTAATACTGTTAGAAGCTATCATAAGCTAACAGATGTTTGTTTGTATTGCCTTAAGACTATCATAGTTAATGTTAGCTAATCACACTTCATTTCAAGACACCGGAATTGTTATTAATGTTAAACAAATAAAACTTTAAAAGCACTTCACACTACTCACACTCTCTGCGTTGTCGTTCATATTCATGTCTCCTGCTCACTAGGTGGCGATGTTGCAAAACAACTAGGGTCCTGAGAGTGTGGTCCTGAGAGTGCAGCCTCCGAGGCTGCAGCTTCATACTACTCCTTGCCGGTCACGCGCATTGCGCGGGAAGGCCGGAGCGGAGCTGTTTTATGTAAAAGCGAAGCAATTAAGCGCGCTCCGACTTCTTTATTTTCTTTTAATCTAAAAAGCGAAGTAAAGCATTTACAATTTCAAGCACTTCATCCCAAATTCAAGCACCATTCCCAAAATCCAAGCACTTTTCAAACCTTGAAAACACCTCGTACAATTTCAAGCATTTTCAAGGATTTCCAGCACCCGTACGCACCCTGCGTCAGAATAACAATACATCCAGTTGAAGAATGACTACTTTTTATTCACTTTTCACTGATATTGAAATCAAATGGACAATGCACACGATGGTTAAACAACAGCAGGCTAATATCTAATTCTCTTTATAACAACAACTGTCAAACTTCAGTGACATAAATGTTTTATATACTGTATATATATTGCCTTCTGTATATGTACATAGGTACACGCATAGAGTACATACACACATACTAACTTTTGAGGTTTACACACACACACACACACACGCACACAAACGAGCCGTATTTATTGTAATGGCTGGACTTTGTCGAGTTCCTGACTTGGAAAGGGAGAGGCTTTTCAAAAGGAAATGCATAGATTGGAAATCTAACATAATATGCCACAAGCAAGCTCGACACACAGTTGAAAGTACACACACTGTATTTGGAGTTTTGTCTTAAGAGTTTGGTCCTTAAATATACGATGAAGAAAAATAAGAATGGGAAACATTGGGATGAATACAACCATTGAACATCAATCAACCCTGGTAGGTCAGAGGGGGATTCAGGAGAATGACAGGTAAAGCGATAAGAGTACAGCATCATGGGAATGATATTAATAATGTTTGGGGTCCGATTGTAGTGTGTTGTAGTGTAGCTGTAGGCCCAAACATCAAGCCTTCCCTTTTAGTGTCCCAACTCAGTGTTACATCAGACCACAGACGAACAGGCTTTAATCTCTGTGTGTGAAACAACAAGGAAGAGGAATACGCGGTTATGATTGGTCTGTGGAGGAGGTTCACACGGGTAAAACCATGGAGAAAATGCTAGGTGTAGATAGGACCACTGGCTATACTTCCAGGGGGGAAGAGAGCTGTCCATGGCAAACATATGCCGAGTTCACCTTGTCTTCAGAATAGAGATTGTGGTCGTTGGGTTGGTGGGTGTGTGGTGATAATAGAGGATGATATGGAATGACGCCCCGAGTCGATCGGCTGCCTAGCGGACCAGCGGGGATTGCTTCAGGGAGATGAGGACGGAGCGCATGCGGGACACGTCTTTGGCCTGCTTGCTGGACTTGGGGTTGAAGTCGCAGAGGCGAGCCACCCGCTCCCACTCTGTGCCGGGGTTATTCTCATCCAGATCTGAAATCATGGCCTCCTCAGCCGCCCTGCACCAGGGAAGAAGAAAAAGGAGATGGAATAGAAAACAATCAGTGGAGGAAGAAGTTGAATACACCAAAAGTACACGTACGGCTCTTAGGAAGTTCTCTGCTGATCACTGACACACACGAGTTCAGGAAGGAAACTCACCAGGCCTCTAGCATTACATTTTTGGGATATTTAAAAAAAGGTGACAGTTTGTTGGTTAGTGAGCATTGAAAATGTGCTTTTCATGATATTTCACCTTTAAAGTTGAAATGTACGTTTCGCATCAAGATTTGAGAAACACTCCTAAAATCCATTGAGCAAAAGCAATCTCGTTTTATGGCTCAGTGAGACTTTGATGGTTCAGCAGAGTCTACCTCAGGGCAGGACAGTCCAATCACAACACATACATTATTTACATCTATTTGTTTTCTGTTACACAAAGAGGAACAAGCTAAAACACTTTCATTACCCGTCACATGCCCTCAACACTGCTTACACTTAACAGTATAATCACCAGTTTTAACTCAACACAACAGTTAAGGGAAGTACATTTAAAACACTGATGGAAAATCGAAAGAAAACAAACCAACCAAAGTAATTGTAAGGTCTGATAAGCATCTTTGGTTGGTTAAAAATGCAGTTCCTGGAAGAACTGTGGGAGTGGAGTTTCCCAAACCTGTACGCTAACTTGCCTTGTGCATTCATATTTACAATAAACTTGTTTCCTCAGCAAGACCCAGGTATAAGGATGTAAGCTCATCTTTATGCTGGTCCTTGATTCGAAATGAACGATAATGGCAAGTGTTTTACTTTTTAACCAAGTCCAAAATAACTAAAAGCACTGCTGGGCTTTAGCCATGCATTGCACTGCGGCTGAAAAGCAGGCTATTTGGAGGTGTGGCAAAGAATGCGTTTACTTTGCATGTGTCTAATTGTGGAACAAATCAATTACTGTCTTTTTGTAAAAGTTTGATGCTTTTAACCATCTTTCAAATAAACATAAAAACCATTATAAACTCCAGAGCTTGAAATTAAAACACAAGAGTGAAAAAAAGAAGAAAAAGACAAAAACTAAAAATGGATCAGTGCCACTTTCACAAGACATTTGGAGATGCAAGCCACAGATTAGGGCTAAACAAATGTAACAATCATCCCAAACCACCAACCCATAAAAACTGTAATTTTCCACTGCCGTAATACTTCTGTATATCCCCCACCCAACCTGCAAGCACTAACATCTAACTACACACAGTACACAAAGCAAAATGGGGATGAGAAGCCAATGAACAATCACTGTCACAACCAATTACAAATACACAAAGGGGACTAAAAAGGGCCACAACATCACAGAAGGGACATTATAACAAACCTCTAACTAGGCAGTGGATCTAACCGCTGGGAAAGTAAACGGGGGATTTGTGCAACATACACATTTCTAACACACACATACACACAGGACTGCATCTATCCCCTCTGAGAAAATATAAAGTATTTGAAGGTTGTGGGGTTTCATATTTTTACTTAACTGGTCTAGGCGGTAGCAAGGATGGTTAATGTGTGTGCTTTAAGGTGCATAGGAAAAGAAAACAAGGAGAAACAGTTTCACAAGTCAGAATATAGAAGAGAGAGAGGGGACGAAATGAACGACAGCAAAAATGAGTTCAATGCAGATGTGAAAAGCAAGCGTGCAAAAGCGACAACTCTCTTTTGTGATTTCTGTTTTTCAAAACTGTTGGAATGTACCAAATGTGCAACCTTTGGTTTTGGTGAGAAGGAAATACATTTGTGCCTCATAACTTTTCTCTCAGTTAGGCAGCGAAGGACATTATAGCCTGGGGTCTCATTTATAAGGCTGTGTTCGATATAATATTTGTACATACAATCTCTGGTATTCATTCAAGACCATTTTTTCCAACTGTATGCCTATACAGGAGGCCCCTGGAGTCCCTCTCATGGTCTCACACCAACAAGATGAAGAAGGAGGAAGTGGTGGGATTCAGTGTCCTTCTGTACAGATGAGATCAGAATATGCTGCAAAAGCTGCATTGATTTGTGATCATTAAAACACTGCTAACTATGAAAACAAGCAAAGGAAATTCTTCATTTCCAAGACAAATGCATTTGACCCTGGGCAGTAAAGAAAACATGAGGATGTGTACGTCGATATTACGTTTTAAATACGTGGACATTTAATAAAGGAAATAAGCCTGGCACAACAATAAACCAAAAATAATTGAATGTTAAACAATTTTTTATGCACTAACTAACTTTCAGCTTTGCATTTCTTAACTAATGCCGACCGGCCTAGTTGCAGTTTACAACCATCGTATCAAAAATGTCAGAACTTCCTAATTTTATCCTTTGGAGTTATGGACAAAAATGTGTTTTACGGTCACAGTGACTTTGACCTCTACCAAAACATAATCCTTTCATCATTCAATCATGGTAGCCGTATCCCAAATTTGATAAGAAAATAGGATTAAATGACTGCTATGCTGCTACAGGTTAGTCTCTCCTCTACATTGGAAATCAAAGCTGATAGTACCAATGATAGGCGAAAGAAACGCGTACTCCACAAGGCAGGCCAATGTGCACTCCAAAATAAATTGATAGCAAAACCAAAGGCTGCACAGCTCAGCATATTGGATAGCTCGTCTGGCAAATTAGCATCTCATCATGTCGGACATCAGCAGCTACAGAGCAGCTAGCATTCGAACGCATGAATACAGGTCAGTTTGAAGCAGTTGTGTTACAGGTATTGATTAGTGGTGTTATTGAGACTTTGAGGCGGAAGATAGTGGAAATTATGGAAGCAAACCTGTATTTTGGGAAGAGGAGATTATAAAAAAAACTATAAATTAGCTAAAAGTCCAAGGAAAGACATACAACTTGACCTTAACGCAGTTTGGCACTTTCCTATTCTGCACATAGCTCTAGCTTTTACATAAGTGAGTAGCTAAGGCTAGGAATACAGGAAATTGGGGACTTAAAAAGTTTGACTTCAGTCAAAAGAAGTCCAATTATAAACACACAATTGCTTCAAACAAATCTATATGCATCCCACTGAATAATATATTGAAGTTTAATTAAAAAAAGAACATAAAAAGATATTAAGTACAACACAAGGCACTCTCTATTACGAGTAAATACAATTAATGTAAGCATGTTTTAATCGTTGGAGATTCATGTTTTTGCTAAATGTTTTTTTCTGAAATGGAGGAGGAAGACAGTATGGAAGTGACTAATGGATTAAAAGCAGTTGTGAAATAATTAATTTGATGTTCATGGATGTTAGTAAGTTGCGTAGCAGTGCGTGTATTGGCATGCAGTCATTCTTTACTGAAATCTGACAGACATCTGCTCACAAATGACATGCAGACATTTCGGGTGGAAATTATTACTGCACATGAGAAAGAGAAAAAAAAGCTACATGACAGGTGTAACAATTCGAAGTAGTTAAAACATGTAAAAACTAAAAGATGGAACTAAACCAAGGCAACACAAAGGGAAGTAAGTAATTGCCTAATTAATGATATGATTTTAGTGGTAGGATGCTGGGAGTCGATGAAAATGGAGGGGGGACAAAAGCAAAAAGGATGTAAAGGAAGGATGTTAGTTGGAGCAACATACACATAACCAATGAGCTCAGAGAAGGGCTGCTTGTAGAAGTCTTCATCCAGAACCCTGGACAAACATCCGCCAAACGACAGAGCAGCAAGAAGGTAGGAGAGAAGAGAGACAGCGATAAAAGGGAGAAGAGGATGGAAACACAAGCATTATCGGTTACCACACAATATCACCTGAGGCATATCATAACGATCTCAGTGTCAGAGGGTCTCAAAGGCTCAGAGAGGCCTGCAGCCGATTGTGTCCGATACCTGAAATCTTTAATTATACATCTCTGGTGATCCTCCAAACACGGTCAGCTCTGAACATCGAAGTAATCCCAGAAGTTAGAGAGTAATACTATCAAATTATAACTATTCCACCTACTGAGGCAAATAACTTAATCCTCAAGACTGTATAGCTTATGCAAGTCACCATCAGAACGTGCTAAAATAGTTACTAGCTACAGCTGCTTTAAAAAAGGACTAATTTACTTATTACTGATTTTAAAATATGTAAAACTTCTGGATTTTATTTGGCTGAAATTGTATAAATGGTCAAATATGTTCTATACATTGAAAAGTAAACCAAGTGATTAGTTTGGAAAAGAAGAAATAGATGAAGAAGAAATTATGAAAATTATTTTTGTTGGCAGTCCTAATTCTTTGACATTGGAATGACAGTTAATAGACAAAGACGGTCCATATGAAAAAGAGTCAAACTTATCCCCCAGACGTACGGTTAATAGATGAGTAGGGAGCCATGTCTGCCAGCAGTTTATTATTAATGGGGTAACACAGCTAAATTACAGCAGAGGAGAATCTGAGACAGAAACGTAATTAATTTAACTGCAAAAAGATGAGGTACTAAATCCGTCAAGATAGTCTGATGATTTTCTTTTGCACAAAACAGTTATTGGATTCTTCTTTTGAAACACCGTGCTACACCAAAATATCAGGAAGCCATTCCCCCAGTGATGTAAAGCAGCCCCGAGGACCCATGGGATACGACCAATGTAAAGATAATTTGTTGTGGGGTCAACTCACGAAATGCTACACCATTATGGAAGTTGTATTTCCTCATATACTGCATCATCTCAGGTTGCCTCCAAGGAAAAAGGCTTGCCTTCACATTATTTCCCATGAATAGGAGGAAAAAAACAAGCTGATACCTAAAGGGTTCTGGCTAGCTAAGGTTAGAAACATTGCGTACTGGAACAGAAGCCCATTATCTTTCTGGAACCCCTAGGCTAAGGTGGACCCATCTCTTGAGCCAACCCTCAGTGTTTGGCTTAATGCCGGAATCCAAGATTGCTGTTCTTGTTTAGGAAGTATTATTTTTATGAAAAACATTTAGCAGATTCCCCATATCCCTTTCTATTCATGGTAAGATGAGCCCCTGCTTTATTCCCTTTGTTCCTTGGGTCAACACACTACGAAGCCAGTACCTGTTATTGGTTTTGGTTTTCTCCAGCTGCTCGTCCTGCCTGGCGTGCCACTCCTCCAGCTCCACCTTGGCTTTTTCCTTCCACTCAGACTCCTGCTTGATGGAGTTTTCATCTGGGGAGGGAAAACAGTGAGGCGAGGGTCAATAAAAACGTAAAGTGTCAGGAATGATAATAATTTCAGGGCAGGACACATTTTACACACAGCCCAAACTGCTAGGTTTGAATGTTTAGCACTTTGCTTGGAGATCATAATGTCTTGATTGTGATTATATATGTTAAAGGTCACCTATCATGCTATTTTAAGGCAATAGCATAGGTCTCAGATATATAAAAAAAATATAAAAAACATGTCTATGAAGTGTTTTGGTCAAAAAACCAAACAGATCACCCATTCCTCATATCCCTCTATTTCACTTCCTGTTACAAAAGTGCTGATTCTGGGTATAAACAGGTCTCTCTTGAGAATGAGACCCTGTGTCTCAATGAAAAAAATAAGAGGGGGCGGAGCTTATGCCGGCTCATGCGGGACCTGGCAGATACTGTCTAAAATGCTGCGGTGATGAAACGCAAGGATTATTAGATCAAGGATTATTTCTGAAACAGTATGGAGCTCAAAGGCTTTCTCTCTTGCCGGTTATACCACAAGGTGAGTTCCTTTTTATTTCCTGCTTCTTCACACACATGCTCTCTCCAGTACAGGTTAGCTCTGAGTGTTAGCGATGCTAATGTAAACACCGACCATATTACGTCCAAAACAGTCGGGCATTGTTTCTGATAGCAACGTTTCTGATAGTGCTGTGGGTCCGCAATCGGATCAGCTCTGTTGTACCCCCGTTTTTAGAGATTTGGATACGGAGGAAAAGAGAGAGGGTTTTATTTTCTGATGCTGCGTGAGTCTCCTGACACACCGGGGACACATATTTATGTAGAAAATACATCAGAAAGTGCATTTTGCATGATAGGTCCCCTTTAAATTCTACAAGAAATTACTAATCATTTTCTTTTACTCAAAATCTCCCCTTTTATTTAATGTGTTACTTGAATTTGCCAGTCATTTTGTATCTTCATTTTGATAAGTACATTTAAATCATAGCACCAAATAAATGTTAACTAAAGTAATGGGTTGACCTACAAACTGAAAAGCTAGTAAAATGTACCTGGGCAATGAAGAAATGTGAGTAAAGGTGGGCAACGCCCCCGGTCAGAGGAGTTTGAGCACGGTACATACATTTGAACAAAAGCAGACTGTTCCAGTTGAAGAGAGAGAGCATGGACCCTCGTCTAACGTGAATACTCGTGGATTTGGAATCATGTAAGTATATTTATGTACTTAATTAACTCTGTACATCCCTGTTAGCTTGTCAGCTTAATGTTGATATCAAACGCACGTTAACTAACGTAAGTATTTCAGTTTAGCAACTAATCTAGTTGTGGGATTTTGAGGTACTTGTTCTTTTCATTGCACTTCATACCTCACTACAAATCAAATGGAAATATTTTACTTTGTGCTTCACTTGATCTTATATAGAGTTTATAAAGTATAATATACCATAGTGTAAATATTGTTAGTAATTCTTAATTAATTTTGAACTTTTTAAGTGTTTTTGTTGTTGTTAATATTGGATTTGTTTTACTATAGGGTGCTTTTACGTGTAATACTCAAACAGAATTTAGCTAATTATAGTTTTACTTAAAGGGGACCTATAATGCAAAATGCACTTTTGTACGTCTTTTATACATGAATACGTGTCCCCGGTGTTCCAGGGAACTCACCAAGTGTCAGAAAACACAACCCTCTCTATTTTCCTCTATACCCAAATCTCTAAAAAAGGGGCTGCAACGGATCTGATAAATACTGATCCAGATTTGAACACTGTCCTGACGTCAGGACAGTGGCGCTACGGCTATTGGGCCAACTCCACCAATCAGGAGGAGACAGCCATGGCCATTGCCGTTCGAAAGCACTGGAGACGCTGTAGTACATATGCCAGGCCTGTAGATGGTGCTGTTCTCACTGAATCTGCCCTTGCAGATGTAAAAAATGTCAAATTGAGCAAAATGAGGCATGGCTAAAATGCATGATCTGTTAGGTATTTTGAAAAAAAAAAAAGTATAAATATGCCTTATATAGGTATGGTCCTACACTATATTATTCAAATATAGCATGATAGGTCCACTTTAAGTAACATTTTCATTACCGGAATTTCACTTGTAATAGAGTATTCTACTATTCTTACAGTGTGGTATTAATATTTATACTTAAAGGTGGGGTAGGTAAGTTTGAGAAACCGGCTCGAGATACACTTTTTGTTATATTCCATGGAATGCTCTTAACATCCCGATAGCACTGAATATCTTAAGTGCTTTGACAAAAAATCCATAAAAACATTTCATCTGTGGAAGCCGTAGTACTATAAAAAGTGCGACCAATCATTTTAGCCGGCCCGGCTAAAATAACTGGATGGCCTACCTGCCTGTTAGCCTTCCATCTGTGCACAAACTTATCTCGTGCCCTCATTGGTCATGTGCACGTTCGTGTGTGTTGGAGGAGGGGCTCTGTAAGGAAGTGGCAGATTTTTTCCGGCTGTGTATTTTCAAATTCTAGCACACTCGAGCTGGTTTCTCCAAAATTACCTACCCCCCCTTTAAGTAAAGGGCCTGCTACTTCTTCGACCTCTGAGTGACAGTATATCAATGTGTTTCTGTGCCTGCTTTGTTAAGTTTAACTGATGTGCAGTATTTGTTAAAATCATTGTAAACTGTAGCTTAATCATGGCTTATAGCCGACAACAGAACAAAAATAAAATGTGTTGTTTAAAAGTGTCTACTGTTTCATGTGTTGTATATAGAGATGTCCCGATCCGATCACGTGATCGGGGATCGGAGCCGATCACGTGATTTTCAAAAAATCGGGGATCGGGATTTTTTTTTTTTTTTTAATAAAATATTTGTATTATTTTATTTAATGTTACCAAACAAAAATGACCATGTTCACGTCTTAAAGTCATCCTGAGGCCTTAGTTTTGGTTTAAAATTACACAACATCATGTATGTGTTGCTTCTTTTGGGCTTGTTTTCATAGAACTGGTTGCTTATTTCTCTCAAATCTGGCAACAGAGTGGGCAGGGCGCAGTGTCTAATGGCGCGTTTCCACTACAGCGCGGAGCACGGTTTAAGAGGGCTGTGACGTCAGCGGCCCGTTTTTGGTTGCGTTTCCACTTGGCCTAGTACCGGCCGGCGGGTCCTAATTCACAGTTTTTCTGGCCTCATAAAATCGTGGGTCTAGGGCCAGAGACAACAAGGCTGAGTCGGGCTGAGTATGCTAAACTAGAGAGAGAATCGCTGGCAAGGGGGCTACAACTACAACAAGATGGACATATTTGACCGTGATTTAATTGTAATACACGTTTCAAAATGATGCCGAAGTAACAACATACTGATACCGGTTAGTAAAAACCATGAATTAATGCTTTGACAAGTCTGCAGACAGACGGCAGGCGAAAAACCTTTTAAAATGCGTGTTTTCTAAATGGAGATTGGCTAAGCTAACGCAGTATATGCTCCGACCGTCCACACTCACAACAACGGCCTATACAGACATAAATAAAGCAGCGACTGTATTCACCATGACACAGGCAGTCTGTGGTTTGTACTTGTTTAACTTTTGTCTAGTTTCTGAACATATATGAGGAGCTGTGAGCTCTGAGTGCTAACAGCTAACGGCTGTGTTGTTTTTCTGGGGTTCTCATTGAAGATGACGTCACGGCTCCGCCTACACTGCGTTACTATAGATACTACCCCAGTTCCTAAACTGTAATGGAAATGCGCCATAAAGTGATCCAGTCCTAACGAGGCCTAGCCATACCGAGCGAGGCCGTGTAGTGGAAATGCGCCATAATAGTAGCAGTAAGCTAACAAGAGGCTACGTTCAGCTGGTGACTCGGGAGTCGGGACAGAGAAAATGTCAGGAGTTTGGAAGTATTATAAAATTGAAAGCGAAGGCAGTGTAACAGCCAGATGCAATGTTTGCAAGGCGGAGGTTCCGCGTGGTGGAAAGAACAGAGCTACGTTCAACACGACCAATCTAATATGCCACCTGAGAAACAAACACCAACAACAAGACGACGAGTACACAGCGGCCACTCAGGTAACGGCACTGAAACAACCAACACTTTCAGAGACTTTTAAAAGGAAAGAGAAGCTGCCCCAGAACAGTGAAAAGGCCAAAAAAAGAACAGCCAAGATAGCTGAATTCATCGCGTTGGATGACCAGCCGTTATCTGTTACCTTTTTTTTCTCTTAATGCATTGCATAAAGATCGGATCGGGAAAAATCGGTATCGGCAGATTGTCAAAATCAAATGATCGGAATCGGATCGGGAGCAAAAAAAGGTGATCGGGACATCCCTAGTTGTATAGTCTTAGTGTAAAACTGTTTTATTGAATAGAAATTGCATTTGATGTTACAGGTAGAATAAATTACATTTAAATATTACCTACATATTTATGAAATAAAAAAGTTAAGAATAGCAAGTAAAAACAACCTAAAAAACAAACATTTTTACTGGAGATTTGTAATAAGATGCATATTTAAAAGGTGTGCACTCCTAAGTAAATTTAACAGCGTATATTTCAAGTAGCATTTAACTACTACTTTCCTGAGTAAATCTTACTCCCGATTTTGTTCAGTGTAGACAGCAGTAGACCATCCTGTTTTACACTCTGGTAAATGCTTACCTAGCAACTGCAGGCGCTCGCTTTGCTCCTCTCTCCACTTGCGAAGACTTTCAGGTTCAGCCTGCAGCCGGTCAGCACTGGAGATTGCTGCGTAGGCATCGGATGGACCGTTGCTTTCCTGAGAACAAGGGAGTTGATGATATGCAGAGATACAGTTGTTCACAGGAAGATATTTTATCAAGGTCAAATATAGAGATATGAAAAATGATTCATCTTGTTTCCCCATCATCTGGAAGTTCTGGTCCTGCTTTTAATTTGCAAGTTACAGTTTGTGGGGAATAAAAAAAGTTCATTGCTCAACTTTGAGTTTTATCAGCTTGGAGTCAGTGCCAAAAGGAAGTCCTGACAATGCAAAAGGCAGCAATTTTGCAATGACAGCACAGGAAAGGGAAGTTGGAGTGAATCGTCCAGATATTTAAACCTCTGCGGTCAGCACTGAACTATCATTACTCAAAGGAAATAAGTCTTTTTCACCACTTGCATACAAAAAAATTAAATACATTTTTGTTGTATAATAATAATAATAATAATAATAATAATAATTGATGCACAAAGAAATATGTTTGATTTGGGAAATGTAGTGTGTACTTGGTGAGCATGAATAAGCTGTCAAACTCTCCTTATGCAAACACAAAATACAGGAACAAACCTTATGAGAGAAGACTTGGGAAATGTTACAATTTGATTGCGAAATTGTGAAAAAAGTATTACCCCATGAAGATCTCCGTTGACAGCACCATCTGCAAAAAAATAATGTAAAATAGTTGTAAGAAATGAACGGCATACAACAAATCCACAGACATTATTAAATATATTTCCGAACAAAACAACCACAAATCTACAATGACAACCTTGGCTAGCTGGCTTGACTCTAGCTGGATCCTCGTGATTTGCAAACACACATTATATACTCATACTCATTATAGGTTAGCACTTCTGATCAACTGTTAGGCAGTCATGGAGGCCAAAGGTCGGCCAGCTCCATCAATTTGCTCTTTAGGCTGTAAGGTGAGCTGGTTGTTGAATATGAAGCAATGAATGGCACGCCCTATAACGGTAGTTACTGGTTTTATCAGACAACTTCCTTGATTTTCAGAAATGCTTACATTGCACGTAACAAACATTATATATATATATTCCGAGTTTAAGCGTTGAGGTTCATGAAAACGCTAGGTAAACTTAATAAGCTAATATAGCTAAGCTAACATTAGCAAGCAGGGATCCGTGTCAGAGTCCAATTAGGACTACATAACGGGAGTTATAGTTGACAACAGGTATAACACCCTAATGTTAAAGCTAACTAGACAGACATTGTTAACATTAAACTGCCTCTGCTCGACCACAGCAGCCACCCACCGCTGGAGTCTCCCAGCGAGGAGGGCACCTCTCCGCTATCCAGGATGCTGAAGCCTTCGTCGTTTTCAATCCCCGCGATTTCGCTCTCCTGTTGGGCCAAGAAAGCGGCAGCGGGGTCCTCATCCGAGCCCACTCCGTTTCCAGCGGCGGGCGCGTTCAGCATGTCAAAATCATCCATGTTGTGAGTAGGGAGGATTAATAACGGAATGAGCAGGTGTAGCGGTGGACTAGAACCGATTAGCTCAACGGGAAGAAGGACGACAATAAAAAGAAAGGAGAAGCGGAAACAGAACATAACCAATCACAAAGCAGAATGAGTGACTGACTAAACAGAACACCAATCACATTACAGCTGCTTCAAAAGGGAACCAATCACATCGTTATACGCTCCTGCATACGGGTCCCATGACCTGCTACGTGCTGTCAGTGCTGTGAGAAAAATCCGCAGTCAGAGATTAAGCGAGAAACCCCCATATCTAACGTCATATTGTGTCTTGCTAAAATATAAATATATATATTTAAAAGGCTCTGATCTGAAAGAACGGCGGAGCCCCCTGATCTTCTTGGTTTATTGCAGACCCAAGCGTGCTTTTGAATTATTTGGTCCTATTAGACCATAGAACCTTTTGCAACATTTGATGGTCTTCTTCTGTCAAATATCATTGAGGGTTTTCTCTTTGCCACTCTGCTATAACACTGGTGACCTGGTAACATGTGTCGTGTTCAGCCTGAGCAGCACAATGTCATGATGTTAATCATTTACAACTCTGAAAGTCTCAAAGGGCTCAGGTGACAAGCAGGCACTCACCTGACCCAGGGTATGTATGTGGAAGAGAATGTATTGCTTTTATAAACAGGAAAATTTCAGCGTGACTCCAACACTGGGATTTATTGTTAACATGTCTAATCTATAATTTACCACAATTAAAAACTAGAAAGTCTAGCCTATCTCCAATCAGAAAACCTGTGTTGTTGTCTGTTACACTAAGGAACATAAAGATGCATCTGTTGTTCCTTAATTCAAAGGGGCCATGAAAACTGGAACTTGACTATAATAGCAGTCGGGACAATTTAAATTCAACTGTTGGCACTCAGCAGGATTAGAATGGGTGGACACCATGATTTAACTGTATGGCCACTGGCAACTGTTCCTATGAAAAAGACCAATTTACAGTATTTGTGTGACTGGCTATTTCAGTTAACAATATTTCAGTTAGTAAGGAGATTTGTGTTTGGTAAATGATTTCGTTGTTGTTAAAATGCTTCTTGGCAAAACACTCTTATATCGTTGGAAAGCCTGTTTTCTTACCTTTCAAATGGTACCATATTTGTGAGGAACATGCACTTGTGGGATGAGCAGCAGAGCTGAGTATGTGGGTTGCACCCATGACAAATGTGACCAATCTCCTCAGCTTTCTTTTGCTGTTGACTCTTTTTTTAGTTGCGTTTGGTGGATTGGATGATTGAAGTCTGATGAAACAAAGACATTTTATTAACAATGTATTCATTTAACAAGCAGCCTCAGTAGCGTGTGGAAGAACCAAACACAGCCACAACAGCCTCTCTTCCTCATGCTGGTCACCAGCAGGGGCGTAGTTAGGACCTTGAAACATTGTGTTGGTCACTCTGGACAGCACGCCCAAACTGATTCCACAAGTGTTCAATGGGGTTGAGGTCAGGACTGCAGGGAGGCCATTCCATCCTCTCCACTCCCAAATTCTGGAGGAAGTCTCTGATAATCCTCGCTCTGTGGGGGCGAGCGTTGTCATCTTGGAGGATGGAGTTTGGTCCCAGACTGTTGAGATGTGGGACTGACAATCAGCGAGCACCTGTGGGTACCAGAAGCTCAAAACAAAAGTTAAAAGCAACAGCAAAAAAAAGCTGTTTGGCATTGGCAGAGGAGATTTGTCAGATTTGTCATGGGCACACCCTACATACTCGGCTCTGCTGCTCATCCCACACATGTTTGTTTGTCATAAATGTGGCACCATTTGAAAGGTAATTTAACAGGCTTTCCAACTGTATAATCCTGAGTCCTGGATCCTGAGTCCTGGATTTCGAGTCGTGGCTGAACCGGTCACTGTGGTCCTGCCTGACTCTCATCATAATACTTCCCTGATGGCTCCCACAGGATTGTTGACATCCTCGTGGATTCATCGTCTTATTATAGACACATGCATTTCCAAACATTTGGACTACCTATGTTGTAAATGTATTATCTTTTCGATTTACACACGGCATCTATTGCACGTCTGTCCGTCCGGGAGAGGGATCCCTCCTCTGTTGCTCTCCCTGAGGTTTCTCCCATTTTCCCCATTAAACTGTGGGGTTTCTCTGGAAGTTTTTCCTTGTACGATGTGAGGGTCCAAGGACAGGTGGTGTCATATTGTCATACTGATATTCTGTACAAACTGTGAAGCCCACTGAGACAAATGTAACATTTGTGATATTGGGCTATATAAATAAACATTGATTGATATAAGATTCATTGCCAAGAAGCATTGTTACAACAAAGAAATAATCTACCAAACACAAATGTCCTTACTTTTTGTGTTAAGTTTATATCCAGGAGACTCCTATGATAGAACATTGAGCAATGTTTAGGTAACTTTTAAAAGGTAAAGCACTGTTTTTTAGCATCAACTGCTTTACTGGCCCACCAGATAATCATATTCATTGTTATTTTTCTTTACTTGCTTGCAAAGTGCTTTGAGCACCAGGAAAAGCGCTATATAATAATGTATTATTATTATTGCCCGTACATCATAAATCTAGTCTTGTCATTATTTTAAATAAGACTTTCCTTAAAAATGTAAAATGCATTACTCTTATTTGGCTTTCTTTACATTTTATTATTTACCACAAAACATGTTTAAATTTTGCCTTTTTTCTGTGTAGAAATCAAAATGTAAATCGCTTAAGAGATCACCCATATTGTGTACGGGATTTGAACAACACAACAATGTCTCCCTTCCTTTCTTCACTTAAATTAAATTTATTTATTGTGTGCATCTTCAACAAGAAAGTACTTTTGTTTGAGCATTAACCCAAAGAAAATTACAAATACATTTAAATCAGCATGTAATGCACAACACAGTATGTTATAACATACAAACGCAAACATTTTTGCGATAAAATATATTATCTTCTAAAAGGCATGGAAAACTTCAAAATCTGTGAAAATCTTCATTAGGTCAGTGATCATGAAAAGTATATAAAACTTTACCTGATTCAGGAAATAGATTCAGCCCCGAGGCCCCCTCATTCTGTAGCAGCTTTTATAGCAGTTGATACCTAACAGTTTATTATAGTATTCCAACCAATTTTTCATTAACCATTTCTTAACCTGTAAGCTCATTCACTAGCCCAACCACCATCTTTAAATACTTCATGATTTCCCCAAAATGATAATAATATGTAATAAAACATGGAAATGTAACATATCAACTTGACTGCAACCCTTCTCTTAAATACCAAACGTATTTAAAGTGAAAACTCCAACCGATTTATAAAAAACGTGAGATGGCAAGCAATCAAGGAGAATTAAGAGGAAGCTGCAGGAGAATGTTTCAGCAATATGTTGGTCACATCTGATACACGCTTTCTATAATGACAGACTTTTCCATCTACCCACTTCACAGTACGAGTCTTTCCCAGTATGGGTAATTTTGTATTGAAGGTGGCTTTGCTGTTTACCAAAAAGCTGATGCTTGATTGCTAAAAAAAAAAGCCCCTTCATTTAACCTTGCCTATGTAGATACAAAAGGAGTTTCTGTTCCGTGCAATAGATGTACTTAACACATGACGTATCAAGACTGATTTGGCCAACATCTAGGCTGATTGTGAAGTTATTATTTTCACAGGCTCGAGAATTTCTATTTTTGCAGGCAAAACTTTATCAAGGCAGTACATGAATTTCTTTCAGTTTTGCAGTCCTCCTGTTGGTTGCGATCCTTGGTAAATTAGGACCATATCCTTCAAAGTAATCTCCTGGTTGTATAGTCTAACACCATGCTAGCTGCTCCAAGTAAAGCAGGTTCTTCCAGCTCTGATGTGAGGACCTTGATGTTCTGGGCAGATTGGAGCGCTCTCTCGGAAATGATGCGCTGCACCGGGGCATGGTAGTAAGAGGCCAAAACTCCAGACAGAATCACCAGCGTGGGGTTCACTATGTGGAGGATGTTCACGATGCCCATGCCTAAAGCTGTGGAGGCTGGAGACGGGAGGAAGACAGATAGAAATTAGATGTTTCTTTTGTTTTAATAGCAGCTTTTATTAACTGTGATATATAAGTGAGTGATTTACGTTTGCTCAACAATGTAAAGCATTTGAAATTCCTGTATATTGTTGGTTTGTGCTCTGACCTTTGTTCAGAACAGCGTCAGCGCTGTTATTCCCCAGTCTGGCTGCATTGATGAGGTGGATAGCAGTGATCGGCTCCGCTTGCTTTATATTCAGCCCCTCCACCTTCAGCAGGTCCTCTGAGAGACACACCAACACACAGGTCATATGTATGCATGTAAACTTATTACATTTAATTAACTTAACAAATACTTCGGATCCTAGATTGCAGCATCATGTATCTTAGACAAATTCAAAAAATGACTTGAATTCCTTCAAGCAACTAATATTTATGACTACATGCAATTTGTATTGGTGAGCTGTCCTTTCAGGTTTACAGGAAACCGGTTTCTCAGCTACTCTACTGGGCGGTATGGAGTCCCGGCACATTTCTTAAAGCTATACATGCACAAAAACAAACACTCACCGTCTTGTAGCCTTTTGGCCTCTCTCTGCAGAGCGTTGCCCGACGCGTAGGCCTCGATGCATCCTCTACTGCCACAGGAACACTCTGGTCCCTCTAATGAAACCATGATGTGGCCCAGCTCGGCAGCGCAGAAGGTAGTGCCGTGAATCAGCTCGTTGTTTTGGATGATGCCTCCGCCAATACCTACACACACAGACAATATATTTACTCCCTTGGTAGCAGAATGCAATGAGCTCATCAGTATTTTAAAATACGCCTATAATGATCACAATTTGCTTCATGTACGGGGCGCACAGTTTTGATAATGTCACATCACATTTAGTAGCAAGTTCCTTGTTTATTATGACTTAGGCACTCAACTTAAGAACAATACATGCCTTGATAGATCTATGTTATGTTGGACAAATGTTCCCTAACTCTTTTGCTACAGTTTGCAAATTCCCTAATCAAAAATGGTGAATTATTGATTAGGGAATATTTCAGTGTTTACCTAGTTACTTTGTCCAGTATAGTACATTTTTGTATAAAAATATATATTGCCACAATATGTAGTTGCATTCCTACTTTTTCATATTCTACAGCATACAATTCAAATAAAGCTACATTTTGAATTTGCAATTTGATGCAATGTGAAAATGTACAATGATTTAATTTAATTAAATAAAAAAATGATGTCAAACTGCAGGAACATTTAGAAACTGATAATGCCCCTTTCTTCCAAAATACAGTTGTGATTTAAAAAAAATATATGAAAATTATGACTAATAATTTCAATGAACATGGTTATTTATACTTACCCCGTATGAACTGATATGAATCACCAGACGTTGGAACAAATGAAAACATCCTGACTAACCTGTTCCTGTGATGACGGTGACGAAGTTCTCCACACCCTTTCCGTGACCAAATTTCTTCTCCGCCAACGCAGCACAGTTGCCGTCATTTTCCACCCACACAGGCAGGTGCAGGGCGTCAGAGAGCGGTGTCCTCAGGTCGACTGAGGACCACTCCTGGATCAGCTTTGTGGAGTGCATCACCACGCCTTCTTGTGGGTTTACACGCCCGCCAGTGGACACTCCTAAAATGTAGAAAGTTTATAAGAGAATTTAATGATAGTTCTGTAATGTTTTTGTCAGCATCCAAGCAGATTTTCATTTCTGAATGTGAGTGAGCGTTTTTTCCATACCAACACCGAGTATTCTACAGTTTAAGCTGACGGCATCCCGCGTGGCATCTGCACACATCTTCAACATGAGCTGCATCCTGGCCTCGAAGGTCTTTGGATTGGGCTGAGTGTACTTCTTTACAATCTTACCCTGGACAGAGAGGGGGGAGGGAAAGAGTTGTGATGCAAAAAGATCAACGAAGAAGAGCAGGCTTTATAGCAGATAGAAAAAATTAGGTAAAATTGAATCACAGTAAGGACCCAGCATCTGTAAGAATTAGTGTGTATAAATCTTATATACCGTAGCAACATCTTCTACTTTTTTAGGTTTCATGTTTTTATTTTGGATCATAACAAAGACCTCCATAAGGCCAGAGAGACACATACAGTATCTCCATGAGCAAAGACACCTACCATCATGATAAATAATTTAAGCTCATCAAAATGTAGAAAATGCTATGTTAAAGGTTGACTTGTAGCTTACCCTCATCCCGACGATGGCCACCCTGAGGTTGGTCCCACCCAGGTCTACAGCCAGAGCGCTCTGGGTCTCCAGGATGTGATCGATGTCCTGGGAAAAGCATTCTTTCACCGAAGGAAAACAGAAAGTCTTCTGGAGGGGCTCATTTAAGTCAATGGTCCGTAAAAACTTGAGAATACGAGGAACTGCATTGCCATCACCGTAAATCTTGGAGCTGATGGGAAACAGAAATGCACCTGTGTTCATATCTTTCTACTTATAACAGAAATTGCGGTAAAAGAAAAGTCACATTTTATGACCTGAAAAGTGTAAACACAGTGAAATGGTAGACACAAGTAGACACTTTCTTTCTGTCAGCATGGCGTAGTTTGCACAGTTTACTCTCATATGACCCAAATTGACCCTGTGTGTTGGTTAGAGAAAGTGGGCTAATTAGGAACATCTGCAAGACAGGTGATTTTTGGATCGTTGTGCAAGTACATAAAAAAAGATATACATTAAAACAGTCTGACAGGAGTGGGATGAAAAATAGTTGTTACTCCAACTTTAAATGTTGTTTTGATGTAGTTACCCTTTAGAATATCCAGCAAAATGTTAAAAAGGAGACAAAGACCTAGTGAGACAGACAGATAGACATTGGTCATACCAGGGGTATCTCTTTCCAAACTGCAGCTCCAAAGCATGGTAGATCTTATCTTGAGTGTCGGCATCTCTGACATGAAGAACATTCTCACCTATGGGAGAGTGAATTGTCATCAACAGAGTTGTAAAGAGCTGAGGCAGATCCAATAATGCTTTTATTTGGGTCACTGATAATACTTAAGCAGCATGTTTCTCTTCCACAACTGCTACAACCTTCTTATATTCAGAACAACAATAACTTGTGTCGGATGACAAAATGTCTTTATTAACACATTTTGCTTCAAAATGGATTTCAAGTAAATGTATAATGTTTTTTTCAGTGCTGCAATGCTTCACTAGTGATCTAATCACACACAGCTCAGTAAACACTGTGAGACTTTATTTGATCATTTCAGTAAAAAAGTAACATTCATATTTCTTAATAAGCACCGTAACTTTCATGATACGGCCGAATGTTGTGTCACGGTAAATGTTGCGGACGCATGGTATTGTGGACAGCATGTTCTCCTTTCCTTTCGTAAAGGAAGGTCCAGTGTTTCCTAAGCTAAAGGAGGTTATAAGTAAGAAGTTTCAAACCTCCTTTCCTATCGTCTAGAGCAGGGGTTTTCAAAGTGTGGGAAGGTGAGCCTCCCCTCAGAGAATATAAGAACAGCCGCGCCCCCCCTCCCAATTATTATTGCTATTATTATTATTATTATTGTTGTTGCTATAATGCAGGGGTATTATTATCCAGTGGAATGCCCTTACCTACTGGCCTAGTTAAATCAAAGTGGTTACTTATTTTTGTCTGGGCAGTGTAGTTTTACACACCATCTTATTTGACTTTCTCAGGGCAGACCCCCACAAAGAAAAAAATATATGTACACACGTAAGGTCATCATCTTAACAGTTTTTAATGCTCGAGTCATCCGTGAGCAGAGCATCAAGTTGGCATGCCTATTACAGCTGAATGCGGCGATTACCATCTTGTTCAGCAAAACGCCTCACAAACGTATTAACATCCAAAGCTTTAGTGCGTTTTGATTCAATGCTGAGCACAGCCAAACTTGACAGTCTCTTCTCTGTCATTGTAGACCGCAAATACCTTATTCCTTCCGTGTACTTGGGTCCGAATGCTTCTCGTTTTCTGCCGCCCGTTCAAATGAAATCGCCGCCAATCACATTTCCTCGCTCGCGCCAGGGTTACAAGGCTCGCGTCTTGTGCTGCATTCACTTGCACTCGGACATCAGGGATTTTCTCTGATAAATGTCCGATGAGCCACAACTTTTATTTCAAAACAAAGCTGCCAACTGGGGTGGCCAGACGCTGTCTCCTCTCTCACTTTAGGTAACTTCACTAAAAATCGATCCATGTTGCCGCTCGCATAAAGTTAGCTGAAGTTAACGAGCTAGATTTCATTGTTTCTCTTTATTTTTTTCTCACGCTGCGCCTCCCCTGAAGCTCTCTGGCGCCCCCCAGGGGAGGCGCGCCTCACACTTTGAAAACCGCTGGTCTAGAGAATTCGAACGGCTCTCATCATGGCTGCCACTGAGGTACTTCCGGGTCATTTCCCTCCGTTAGGACGGTTCCTAAGCTAAACTGACAATTCGACTGCAACCTTGACCTTCTTCTGTCAGGGAGCAAATCAGGACCATAGTCATGGCAGCTTCAGCAGCTAACTATGATCTTGTTTTTTGTTATGCATACCTGTTTCTCTGCCAGTTTGCCTTGATCCCAGGTTAATGACCGGCGTGCCGAAGGCCCCTGCCTCTCGTACCCCGCAGCTGCTGTTCCCGATCATGCAGCCGGCGTGGCTCACCATCTGGATGAAATGGTCGAAGGGAATGTGCTTCACCGCCTTGAAGTTAGGGTGCTGCTCGATGCCCTTCTTTCGCATCACACGCACCATCTCCTTACTTCCTGTTTACACAGAAAGATGCGGGTCATTTATTTAATAACATTTGAAAGAGGGAAACAATCTCCAATCCAAGCACGCTTGAATCATTTCATAATACAGTCACAAATAGAAGAAAACATAAAATAACAAGTGGGTGGAACTAACCGGCATCAATGTTAGGGAAGAGGATGAGGGTCTTTTTGTTGAACGATATCAGGGCGTCCAGCATCAGCCCGTAGATCTTAATGGAGTTCTGGATGTCAGTGGTAACCGGGTGCTGCAGAGCCACTATGTAGTCTGACTCCTGCACCTTGTCCCCTGCAACATGAATTAACACCCCACACATGACATTCAAACATACTCTAAATGTCAATCATCATATTTCCTTCCCATGACTGTATCCCCACGTACCGAGCCAGCTCCTGATGATATCCATGTAGTCGTCTCTGTGATTATTTGACAGCAGCTTATCGTAGGAAGGGCAGCCAGCCAGCAGGATGCGAGAGTGGTCCTCACACATGGCAATGAGGTGCTGCTCTGCCCTGCGTGTGCAGCAGGCGTGGTAATGGGCCAGTTTAGTGATGGCGTGACGGATTGAGTCATCAATTGTACCACTCACCTAGGCAAACAAAGGGTAGTTTGCCATTTGGGAACAATTAATACAGCTTTGCACACACAAATGTCATAAAAACATGGGATAAAAGATTGTAAACAAAGCAAAAAGTATCGATTTGTGATTGATGTAATTAGTTCTATGAATCTAAGGTTGTATTCTGTACTTTTAGATAGGTAACAAAAAGTATTACTGAATTATAAAAGGACTGTGTCTAGTGCAACAAAAATAATATACATTACTGGATTATTTAAAGTTAAACTTCTCTTTTATTTTCTCGAAGCCCTGCCTCCTCACCTCTCCTCCCTCCACGTGAAGTATCCTAATGTTCATCAGCGCCGCAGCGGTTGCAAGGGCCAATGCGTCAAAGCGGTCGCCATGGATGACCAGGATGTCAGGGCTCAGCCTCTGTAGCACATCGGGGAGCTTCACAAGTGCCAGCCCGACACTCTCCACCATGGCTGCCTCATCCTCTCCTCTCACTATGGTGTGGAGCTTGGAGCCGATGTCAAAGTCGTCCTGCTCGATCATACGGAAAGTGTTTCTGCGGAGCGGGAAATAGGGAAGGACAAATTAAGGAAAAACCTGAGTAAATCACAAGACATGTGGGATATTATGGACTGTTATGTTGGCTACTGCATTCCATTAAAGAAATATACACACTTTTTCTGCTTCCAGACGTCAACAGTAAGCATATTTAGTAGGAAGCCATTGTGGCAGTTTGTCATACCCGTAATCATCGATGAGATGAGAGCCCAGCACTACAACCTCCAGTTCAAACTCCTCAGGGTTGTTTTTGATCCCAAACATGATGGGGGCCAGCTTGGAGTAGTCTGCTCTGTTGCATGTTGCTACGCACACCCTCACCTTCCTCTTACACTAAACAACACACACATGGCATTAGTTGTTTTGAATATAACATGCACTAGATATAGAAACAAACCCCTCCCTCTACAAGAAATGTTTAATTATTCAAATACAAATGACTACAAAATAACTATTTTACTATTGGGTTCTGCAAGTGTAGGAATATTAGTATGTTTATGTGTTGGGAAAATGATATCATCAGGACACACTCTTTCAGGCATATGATAGCTACAGTATGTGACAACGATTAACATGATGATTCAGCCTCTATGGAGATAGGCATATGACAAGCATGATCATTTCGGGCCCGGGCCTTAGTCAATCTAAACAAAACATTGTATACTGCTTTGAACCGGTATTCCTGCATCTTGTGACTGTGTAACACCCTCTCTTGTATATAAACATGTGAAGGACAATGTTCAGGAACTAGTTGTACCATATGCTCTGTATGTGATGACTACTTCACTTCTTGTTGTCTCAAGGATGATAAATACATGTATCCTGTTTTGAAACGCGAGCCGGTGATGAGTGAGATTTTTCTAATATTATGTATAATGGCTTTGTATAGTGAAGGATAATGTTATAAATAAACTCTCATTTTCACATGGAGCCAAAGACACAAACCCATACCTGATTCATTTCTGCTGTGTTTTTCCTCTCCATCGTTTCTCTGCACCTTTGCATTGTCAGATAGTATATTTCCTAGAAAACAAAGACAAAAGGGGGAGTCAGATCTAGTAATGAGTTTGTAAAGCAAAATAAAATCCATTATTTTCAACACAAAACCCACCCACAGGTTATACTCACTTGGGCCTTCCGAATATTCAGATGCTGTAGCATGGAAACACAACAAAACTACACTAAACATTTTTCACATTTTCCGCACATAACACATGCTGACACATTTTTTCTAGAGATGGGAAACATGCTGTGGGACAGTGCTTTGGGTGTCAAGATGAAGGTCACACACTCAAACCATTAAACTGTATTTATATAGATCCACTTACTCCCACTGTACAAAAGTGAAGCCAAATTATCAGTTCTGGGGCGATGGAGAAATCGCCCCACAGATTTCTGTAGCAGGTTAGCCAATTGCTGATTCAAGATATGAACGTGTGTCAAACTGTAGCCAATCAGCATCCTCAAAACTAATATGAGAGGGCCGATTATTTTATCGCCCCAAGTAAGCAACTGCTACGCAGCTGGACGACAGCCACAGGATTGCGGTGAGGAAACACAATGAGGAGGTGGATAAAAACAGGAATATTTTATCCAAAATAATTAAGTTTTGTGGGGCTTTTGAGTTGGCTTTGTGTGGGCATGACGGGACTGACTCTTCAGTCAACCCTGGCATTTTCAGGGGATTGCTGGATTTTGTTTCCTGCACACTGTGCTGGAGGAGCACCTGAAGACCGCCACCGTTTTTAAAGGCACTTCAAAGACGTACACCGCATTGATTTTAAGAATAAGAATAATTATTATTAGTTTGTTACATCTTTAGCTTTTTGTATTACTGTTGATTATACCGTTGTTCTGTAATAAATATATATATATTATATATATATTTATATTTATATTTATTTCATACATCATATATATGTATGCAAGTATTGCTAATGCCAATGTTTTAAAGTTTTTGTACATAGTCCTCAGTTTCAAATGCTTAAATTGTTTATGGAGGCATTAAAATGTAAGACTGGTAAATTACGCTGAAAACTCCTGTTTGTTTGCATTAAGTCATACTGGGATGTTTGCTGAAATTGATTGCATCCGGCTCAGCCCTACCTAGAAACAATTCGACCAGCCGCCACTGCCAAATATGCCACGTAGAACAACAGAAACCTTGATCTTAAAAGGTCAATTGATGTGCACTGTGACTTTACAGTTTGGCCCATGTCCCATCTGCCAACGTGAGGTTACAGGGCTTGATGGAGATGTTTTGACATCCCTTTTGTCAAGTTGTCCATTGTTTTATACCGTCTGTGCTCATACATGGTAGACTCTGCTCATATGACAGTAGGAAATTACTCTTGAAGGACAGGAGACCATAATTCAGTGAATCAAAGTCCAGCTTATCGGCAAAAGTGCATAGCTTTTCTTTATGCTTATTGGCTGTTAAGTTGAAAAAGGGCAGGACTATGTCGACAAGAAGCCTACAGTACCACGTCATCTTAACAACTTGTTTCACTGAGTAGACCTACAACAATCTTTGGTATGATTATAATTTTAGCTGATAATGTTACCCATATGACACAAAACTGAAAGGACAGTTTGGTTTCAGCCACAGACTTTTAATAGACCTTTTTCCCAGCACACATTTTTAAAACAGTTTTCACTGATTATATACAATGGTTGGATTTATTTTCACTTATTTACAATTGTGTTTTTCTTACTATGACATGTCAAAATAATATTGTTATTTCTTCTCTTTTCATAGCCGTCAACAGTTTGAACCATGTCCCGATAAGTCTCGTACAGGCCCTCTTAAGTACATTTTACTATGTTAAACTTTAACATGAGAAGGAACCCTTATTTTGATATACTTACTGCCATCTGCTGCCGAGAATGCATTATGACAGTTTCTCCATTCGGCATTTAAAATCTCAATCTTGAATTTAATCAAAACCAATCTTCATGTTAAAGGAAATATACAGAGTTACTGAATACATTCAAGCCAATATGAAGAATCACAGGGACTTCAAATTCCAAAGCAGATTGAGTGCTTGGAATTGACCAACTCCGGAGGTTAGATTTAACCACTGGCAGAGCTGCTTTTTACTCCTTTGGACTTCTGGGAATAGGAATGGAGGGGTCATTGACATCAGAACAAGCAAATAAAGTATATTTATTAAAAAAATAGAAAACAGGGTTCCCACTGCGGCACAAATGTTAAATCCCACCATGTTTTCCATGGCTTGATCCGTTGCTTACCACAAAACCCTGATGCTCTCAATGTTGTCGACATTTAGAAATTAGGGCACTCAAAAAGAAAGAATAACAATTATGTTTAAATATAATAAAGCCCTTTATCAAAGAAGAGCAAAGAACATCTGAACTCTGTAAATAAAAAAAGGCCTCGCTGTTTAAAAGGACCCTATATGTCATGTGAGTGCAGCTGTTAAAGAATGCACCCATACACAACATGACATAGTTAAGCACCCCGTGTCAACCTCAAAAGGTCACAACACAGTAACCCAGTGTTTTTCAAGTTTAAAGCTTCTCCCTGGAGCACTACCGCAAAGAGAGGAACTTATATAGCTGCCTGTGACAGATGAACAATGTAGATAATCATAAAGAGTTCGCTACTAGCAGAAAGTTGTGGAGCCTGTTTGAGCAGCAAGAGACGTAATGGAAAACACAGTGGTGACACGTGAAAGTCTTTCACAATTATCAAAGTCGACTGACAATATTGTCTTGTAAGATGCTAAAGAAAAAATATGCAAATGTTTGTAAAGACTGCCAAAGGATAAAGAGAAGAGGGGCAACTTAAATGTATACTGATACTTTCTAAAGAGCCAGCAAGCCTTTTTCTCCCCCAATGGCACACTTTGATGATTAGGCCTAAATAGACATTTCATATGTTTTTGACTGTGGAATCACAGCTTTCCTTTAATGGTGTTTAATTTACATTATTGTGTAAATATTACTTAATATATCTGTTGTTGCATCAGTGTGTTACTATTCCCACAGTGAATACAGGGCAGGTACCACATGTGCGCCGGTCTCTCAGTTGTTCTTTTGTTTGAAAAGTGATGCTGTATGAGCATGTCTGTCCTGGTACTGCAAACACATGTATAACCGGTTTCTTGGAATAGTACAGCCTCACTTATTATTATAGAGACTTTCTTTCTGTGATTTTGTGCATCTGTGTTTTTTTTACTTATCGCATTATTTCCTTTTGAGGCTGCCTGAATGATTGTTGAACAGCAGTGACAACTGTACAACAAGTAGAAGTTTTAATCGCCTTTACTAATCCCGTCCTGTGAAAAATAATAATTATCCAAAAGCTTCTGATGCAAACCTAACAGCACCTTTCACCTGTGCATATCCTGTCAGGATGCAGTGTTTTCTGTCTATGGGCAGGTCAATTATTTGCATGTTAGCCATTCAAAACATTGACTAAAAGTGTACTTAATTTGCAAGTTGTATGATAATTGTCCAATAATGGGCTGACAGCCTCAGTAACTGACTGCCTCACAGCCACTGCAAAGCAAAAGACAATAGAGCTACACACTCTGAAGTGAAACAAACTCTTGCTCTTTGGCTCATGCCTCCTTCTCCTTGTACATGTTTGAACGTAAAGTATTTCTTGTGTTACCTCTTGGTGCTGCTACCAAACCAACATCCTTCAGGTTAGAAAGTACACTGCTAACTTCATTTTACAGATCCTTACTACTCATTTGGCTAGTCAGCTTTCTTGCATTATGTACAGGTGAAATCACTTATTAAAAAGAAATCTTACTGAAATGGTGTAAAAATTGAATTTGACCCAGAGAACAAACGCAGAATGTACCCAGAAAAGCTAGCAAGCAATCAGTGGCACATCACAAGCAGACATCCTGGTTTTTAGTGGCATGCTGCTCATAAACTGAAAAATTACTTAAAACTAAATATTAGCTACCGTGGATCTCTCCTTTTGTTAATTGGTTTGCAGCTGATAACATCACAGCCCAGTATGGTTTTGGTGATTTGCAGGTGAGCTGGCACATAGCTCTCTTTTCAAAACTGGACAATCTATATATTAAATGTCCTTGTTTTTTTTGTTCAACCTTGACACTGGATCCCTCTAAACCTTTTCTAACAAAACATTGTCCTTTGTTGAGGAGCATTTAACAGTATATGTTTGTTTACATAAAATCTCATTGTACAACTTAACTCAGCTACCAGCCCGACCACAATAGACAATAAATATTATTTACCTAGTCTATTTTCTTCTTCCAGTCAGTCATTAGAAAAGATATTCAGTGCTGGTGTTTCTGATGATGTTCTATTAATGCCTTAAAGAACACACTGCTCTTTAGTTTTACTTCTGTGAGCTCATTACTTTTGTTGATAGTCTTGGTTGAATGCAAATGTTATGTTGTCAAGTAATATTGTCTAGTTCTGCTAATAATCCCAGTAATAAGCAGACATGAACCCTCAGAAATAAGGGTCAAAAGGTTAAGATCAATTGTAAATGTAAGAATGCCACCTTAAACACAGGCTATGTCAGTATAACTGTAACGTTTTCATGGAACATAAGCACCTTTACTTGGTGTGTGAAAAAAAACCTCCGGGACTAAATACTATGCTTTACTCTGACTCTTGTAGCACACCGGTGACTTCTATTCAAGCATCACAAGACAGCATCAGCAGCCAATGTTACGGTACGGGGGCAGGGACGCATGCAGAGAGCAAAGGCAATAATGGCACAGCAACAGAGACAGCGAGACAGACATTATACACAGAAATAAAATAGAGGTACGGATGGACAATGATACAGGAAGGAAGAGTGGGAAGATTAATAGAGAAAATATGAGTGCACTTACATGTGGGTTTTTGCAAAAAGAAATCAGTTGCTTTTCCATAGTACGGTATATGCCTCTGAGGATTCTCAGCTAATAATACATCCGGCTCCACTTCAAATCCCTCTATCTTTTTGTTCTCCCTTTAGCTCAGACGCATGAGGAAATAAATTGGAGTGCATACGCGAGCCAGCAAGCAAGCGGAAGAGAGGAAGAGAGGAGGAGAGAGGGATAGGGTGGCACAGCCATACAGCTGGGGGAGGGGCTGCTCCAGATCTGGCTGAAAAGCTTGTGATTGGTTGAATAGAGAGAAGAATGAACATATGGCATCCTGCCAGATATCCAACATACCATTCAAAGACAATATTACGTTTTGCATAACAGCTTCCATTCTTCTGGGGAGTGTTTATGTGCATTCTCCAAACCCAGACTTGTCTATCAGACTGCCAGATAGAGAAGCGTGATTCTTCACTCCACAGAACACGTTACCACTGCTCCAGAGTCAAGTGGAGGCGTGCCTTACACGACTCAGTGAGCAACCCATTCTTTCACAAATATTTGTAAAGGCAGACTGCATGGCTAGGTGTCTGATGTTAAACACCTGTGGCAATGGGACTGAATGATACCTGAATTCAATGATTAACCGGTTAAGCCCTGAGCCTGTTTTTCAGGTTTCAGGCTCGAAAATGACATTCCCAGAACAAATGACTACATCTTCACTTCTAAAAGGGGTAAATTAATAATCTTTTTTCTCAAAGCAATTATAAACCTGTGAGTTGGATGTAGAAAAGTCAGAATCAATATAGATTTTTTTATTCTAAAGTAAATTCAGATTGAACATAGTAAAGAAATGTAAATTATAGTGTCTGTCCAAAAAAGATACATTACTTATAGTGAAAACAACCCTTAAATGATGGGATAGTAAACTAAAAGCTGCAGGAATCCAAACTATAACATATAATAAGTACCGTGTATCAAGATTGATGCAAAACAAGTGAAATTTGACATTTTTAAAGAGGTTTAGAAAAAGAAAACCACTTCTGGGGTCATTTGGGTGGATTTGCCATATCTCTGGAACCCATCGGTCGATTTTGGTGATTGACACCTGTTTTGAACCGTTAGAGCCAATAGAATCGAGGGGAAGTTCCTAAATCCATCTAAACATTACCATTGGTGAAGAGAGTGATGCGCAGCCAGCATGCCCAAAACCGGAAGCTGGGTTACAGCTGCACTCTATATGAAAACTCAGTTTTTTACAAACATTTTATGATGGATTATCAGTAATCATTTCAAAGCGACACAGAGACATTGGATTAACCTTCAGCAGCGTTATTATGCGTTTTAATGCCATTGAACACAACTTTTGATCAGAAAACAGCAAAGGTAAGACATATTTGCCGTTTTGGCTACGTAAAGCTAAGTTGTGTGTTGTCTGGTTTTGCCTTCGCTGCCCTGAGTTTTGGTCGCACTGTGATGATTATACCATTGGAATCTGTGGAATGATATATTTTTTGTGCAGATCCGATGAAGTATAAATATTTCTACCGTGAGTTATGTGCTAAGTGCGTTAGCACTCTTTCGCTTAGTGCTAATTCAGACGCTTGGCGTTAGAGTTGTGTTTCGGTAAAAATGGTTCATATATCGTCAGTTAGCTGAGCTTCTTCCCGTTAAGTGAGTATGACACATTAATAGGTTGTTAAATGTTAAGAAGGGTTAGGGTTAGGGATGGGTAGGGATGGGTACCGAGCCCCGGTATTAAACGGGCCCCGGGGCTGAATTATTAAAGACCGTGGTACCGTTAAACTCCGACGTTATCGGTCTTTTTATCGGTACTGGAGACATCTAAAAAATATGTCATGTGTATTATTGCTACACAAACATTATATTGCAGTTTTAGTGTCGCCAACTCCGTTTCTAATACGCAAAAAGACTGCAAAATGCGTCATTTTTAGTATTTTCGATCTCTCCAATCCAGACGAGAGATCTCTCTCCCCCGCCTGCTTGCGAGGGGGCGGGGCAGTTTACACACACGCAGCTGCTACATGCAGCAACACACACACACGGAGGAGATGGCGGAGAGAACGCGCTCCGAGGTGTGGTTAAACTTTACCCGTCTCGCTCGTTGCCTAAAGTGCAATAAGAGTTTAGCATGTCAGGGCGGTAACACGAGCAATTTGTCTAAACATCTTGCAAAAGTGCACCACGTTCAGACGGAGAAATGCACCGGGTTCGACTGTCTCTCTAGTAGCTCTGTAGCCCCATCCACGAGTAACGTTTCCACGTCAGGTGTTATGTATGCTAGCAGCAACACACGGAGCTAACTCAATGATTCAAACATGGGTTAATGATTAGAGGGAACTGAGTTATTTAGTTTGTTAAAGTTTCAGCCATTCTGTTCACAGTTCTGTCATCAGATTATTTAATATGATTTGTTAAAACGTTGTTGTTTCTGTTGATGTGAAATATTATGCATTTCATTTAAATAAAAAGCAATGTTAGTTTTGTTCACAATTTGTTAATTTTCATTTAATCGTTTATTTGAATAGGGACAATGCACATTAATGAACACTTTAGACAAATAATGCTTCAAGTAGGGTGACCAGGTGACAGCAAGCCACAAGTGGGACAGAGAGTATATTTGTGTGGGACAATGTGGGACATGTAAATGTAATGTTGACGCATGAACTGTCAAGGGGGGGGGGGGGGGGTACACTGTGGACCTCTGTCGCCTGTCAGCGCAACTTACATAATGCCGTTTAAAACATAATCATAATGGCAGAAAAGCGTTTTGGCCAATCAAAATGAAATATGCGGGACATCGTCTCAATTTGCGGGACGCACCAAAAGTCGTGAAAATGCTGTGCAGTCCCGCGCAAAGCGGGACATCTGGTCACCCTAGCTTCAAGTGTAAATATGCCGGATTTTAGCTTTGAGCTAATTTCCATCCGTCGTCCCTGACATACAACATATAGTTAGTTTACCTCATTTTTCTCTCCAAAAGAACCGATAAGAGTACCGTTAAAAGACCGGACCGATAAGCGGTATCGATAAAAGTAGTAGTACCGTTAAAACCTTAACGATACCCATCCCTAGTTAGGGTGCACCGGGCTTAACAGGTTAAGAGGTTAAGAGGAGTGTCCCAATACTTTTGTCTATACAGTGTAGCATTTGGAGCTTTGATAAACTGAATATTGATGGCTTTTTTTGTTATCATTGAGGATCTAGGACAATTGGTTGTGTGAATATGCAATGAATAGGTCTGAAGAAAAGATGTTGGATTGCCTTGAGTTAAAAACATCTACTATTTTTACAGTTTTGATTTACCCTTGCAGTATTCATGCATCTCAGCCCCCCTCCGCAACAGTCCCTGTTTGTGTGATGCTCCAGTGTGCATTATACAGTGTTTTCTCATATAGAGATGAATGGAGGTGTGTTCTGTACTACTTATTCTCCTTTGAATGCACATTGTTCATTAGTACATGAACTTTTTTTGAGCACTTGGATTGTTATATGAGCACTTGGATTGTTATATGAGCACTATAAAGCCCTAGGACTAACGTATTCTTCATGCCAATGTTAATAAAAGACTCTTGACCATAATACTTTTATTGGCTGAGTAAATGGCCCAACAGTTACAGTTACGATCAGTCCTTCCAGAGCTGCACACTGGCATCGACCAATATAGATAAGCCTACAAAGAGTAACTAATTGTTACTTACAGACTGCACCATCTGCATGCCTTTACCTTATTGGTTATTCCCTAGCAACACTACATTTCCTACATTGATTAGACACAGCTGTGTACAGAGGTCAAATAATGAATAAGCCATAAAACTGATGCATCCTACTGCAGTCTGCCACGTCTTTGATGCACAGGAGTGTCCACTCACTCACTATTACTAACGTTCTATATTTATTTAAGAAGTTCAGAGACACATAGGCTTTGCCCCCCCCCCCCCCCAAATGACCAAGAGTCATTTTCTGGCATTTTACAAGAGAACAATTTAAGCTGATTAATCAAAAGATAAAATCATTTATTGCAGCTACAGCTACGAAAGGGCCTACAAAATCTGGACCAGCACTACATGGACCAACCTTGCTTCTCTCAGACAAAGGATGATTAAAAAACTCACATTTTCAAAACAATATAAGATTGTAAAAATGTTTAAAAACTTTACAAAGTCTTTTCAGTGCAGTAACAGTCCTATCTGACACAATTTAGGGAACACATGCCTTCCCTTATATGTTCATCAAACCAAAAAAAGATATCGCTAATGCCATGTAGTGCCAATAGAGATTGTGTAACATTTATCCCCAAAAATGAAAGGCAGGAGTTGGGTGTGGGAAATGACCCCCTAGATTTAATGTTTAGAGCGAACCTGAACCGATTAGCCCTTGTTCTAGAAAATAACCAGGAGATGCACTGATCAATATTGGAGTGGATATTTTTCCAAACATTATACCCCAGCAAAGACATAATGACAGTCACTTGATTTAAAGCAATTTTTTTCCCTGCATTTGACAGGGAATTCAATGACGGCTCAGCGCCAAGAAGCCAGTCGTTATTTAAATGAGGACTGGGTAAACAAGCCTTAATGTTGACACAGTTCTGACATCCTGGTACAAAGAGGACAGTAGTCATCAGACGCCAACACCAAGGCTTGACAAACACGTTTTTTTTTCTTGCTTGTACTTATCTTAGACTCTGGCGCACGTTCAGATATGAATTCATAAATGTAAACATATTGAAACTTGTACACATTGAGATCTATTACTTTTACACAAACTGTACATAATGTTCACTTCCTGAAAAACTAGGGCCAGTTTTCCAGTGATCTGCTTAATCCTTATTGTTCTCAATAAGCAATATACATCTCAACACATTTGAATATCGTGGAAAAGTTTATTAATTTCAGTAATTCTATCTAAAAGTGAAACTCATATTATATAGATTCATTTCACACAAAGTGAATTATCTCAAGTGTTTATTTGTTTTAATTTGGATGATTACGGCTTACTGCTAGCGGGAAAAAAACAAATTCAGTATCTCAGAATATTTGAATATTGAAAGAAATTCAGTATTGTAGACTCTAATCAGCTATCTCAAAACACCTGCAAAGGTTTCCTGGTCTCTCAATCTGGCTTAGTAGGCTACATAATCATGGGGAAGATTGCTGACCTCACAGTTGTCCAGAAGACAGTCATTGAC